TAGCAATCCATTTCTAAATATGTGTCCACTTAAAATACATGCACAAACATTTTCATAGAAACATTATTCATAAAAGCCAAATTTACACAAAATCCAAATGTCTATCAACAAGAGTTTGGATAAATACATAAATTATGTCATATTCTATAATGGGATACCATGCAGAAGTGAAAATCAACCACAACTGCTCCCTAGAGCAGGGGTACATTTTATAAATATACTGTTGAGTTAAAGAAGTCAGACACAACACAATAACAAAAAGAGAAGTACTTAGGGATCCCACCCACTGTATTCCACAATATAGTTGGAAAAGACACTTCCCAACCTCTCCTGTATGATTGGAGAACAGTAATGATATTACTGAGCACCTGTCCTGGTGTTCATGGAGCAGTTCCTAGCTTCTCTGTTTGGTATTTGTACTCTGCCTGCTCTCTCAAGATCTACTTCGACTCTTTCCACATTGTCAAACTCAGTTTTAGTTGTAGGCACATTTGCTTGGCCTATCGCAAACCCCAAACTGGCTGCAGCATGCCACACATTTTCTCTTTAATTTAGCCTTATTCCCTGTGCTCTGATCTAAACTCTGATGCTCAGGTTCCCTTTCCAGACCTGCAGCCCCCAAAGAACTTTTTGAATTCCCCCTATAGACTATCGAGGGAAAAGTTTATAATATTTATAGTGGCCCTGTGTTGAGCGGGCTACGTGCTAAGAACTTTATAAGCACTGGTCTCTGCAGCCAATTGCATGAAGTAGATCCACTCAGATCCTTCTTTTTCCAATAATAAAATAGATGCAGAGTGGGCAAGTGTTCAAGTCAAAGGTCATATGTAGCTGGCAGAGTCAAAGCTCCAAAGCTCTGATGACCCTGCTCTTTACTGTACAGAATTCTTAGCATGAGGAGAAAGCCTTAAGTCACAAAGCACCCTGCACTACTCTCAGAAGGTACTCTCAGAGCTGCATTCAGACAGCATCATTGATTCTTCCTGCTAGAGAAGAATCTGGATGCATGGGTCTGGCAGCAGTTCAGTGTCCACTTGTCATCAGTAAGAGTACTGGATTTGAAATCTGGTAAACCTCAGTTTAATGCATTTGCTCTCAGGGCAAATTACCTCACCTCCTTGAGTGCCAGTTTCCTAATCTCCACAATGTAGATAATAGCTACTTCACAAAGTATTTTAAAAATTAGACGTTATGATGGAGGTAAAAGGTTTCACACAGATTAAGCTCTATGAATGGCCGCTCTTTGCTGTGGGTTCCATCACTATTCCCTCTAGGGCAACAGTCTAAGGGGCACACTGACCCAACAACCACATCTACACTCTCCTTGCTTTCTCTTTGTCTACCAACTGGCTCTTCCAGCTCTCCATCTCTGCTCTACCTCTATTTTTGTCATTGTCAGTACTTTCTCTTTCTCTTCCATTCTTTTAAGGCCTTTCCTTTTCTTCCTATTTCAAAATTGACCCCTCATCCACTGCCCTGCCTATCTCAGAATTCCCCCATCTTTCTCCTGTTATCAGAGTCATCTTTTGGACACTCCCTTTTCAGGACCTCAACTAACTGACATGGAGTATGTGCAGTGCTGCTGTGTGCAGATCACAGTGAGGAATATGAAGGGGAATAAGACACAGGGCCCCCTCTTCAGAGGCTCACTATCTAGTGTGAGAAAGAACACACATGAGACACACTCCAGCCTGTGCCAGCCAGTTTCATCCATACCTAGGGTGCAGTGCCCTCATCAAGCAATCCCCTCTTTCCTCTCACCTAGTTATCCAGGTTTAATGCCATTTACCCCAGCCTTTTCTCATTTTGTCACATGACTATTCAAAACAAACTGGTCCTTTGTCACAAGTCTTTGTCCTTTCCAAGATCTTAATAGCTAATCCAATGAGCTAATTTTCCATAGTGCTCAAGATAAAGGGTTAAATATGAGGACCTAGGTTCTTTTTTTAATTTATGTGACTGTGATTTAAAAAAAGAAATTTCCCCCTTGAAGATGTGACTTTAATGTTTTTAGCTTATTGTAACCTAGTTCAGCTCTGCATGCTTTTTGGGTGGAGACTCTGAATAAGTTCCCTGATTGTATAGAACCTTTGTATGGTGGCTTTCTTAGATGCTGGCTGTAGCAGTAATGTGCTTAGTTTGTGTGCAGGTTCCCTGCCTCCTGCAGGGTTGTGATGGCAGAGGTCTCTTGAAGTTTATTTCATTCTCCAGTGGTATGTACTTTATTTATTTATTTTTCCCCAGTGTTTTATTTATTGGGTTGAAAAGTTCAGGCTTCAGGCCAGGAGGGGAGGTATCCGTAGGTAAAAACTGGCTATGGTTAATGCAGGTTGGCAAGCCCAATACCCACTGGTGCGCAGAGGTCCCAGCCTGGGGGAGCAGAGGCAGCTGGGGGAGCTCTTTGTGCAATGCACTGAGGTCTTTTCAGGGGAAGAGAGGGAGCTACCTCAGGTCCCCTTCCAGTTCAGCAAGAAAGCAATTCACCTCACAGTCACACTCCTGATGTAGTGTTGCAACTATTCAGATCAAACAGGTACTTCTTTTAATTTGCAGGAATGCTGATGTTCCATGTGGAATACCACGCCTCATGCAAGCCCGCACCTGGAAAGCACTCCTCTTGTGAGGCCGCAGTCACCGTGAAGTGTTCCAGAAAGGCTGTCTACAGGTGCATCTATGCTGAGCTCCTGTGGGAGGAGCCCCAGCAGTTTCTGCAGTGGTGGATGAGGGAGAAAAGAAGTCCCATTCTCCAAGACCCTTCAGGAGCACCAGGACTGCCTCATTGCTGGAGTGGAGCTGCAGATTTTCTCTATTGAGCCTAGCACTGCACCTCTGCCTCTGCTGAAAGAAACTTTCCACACGTAGAAAATTCTAGAACTCAAGGCCTACCATCTAGATTTTGTTGTTGCTGTTGTTGTTGTTGTTTTTGTCCCATGAGGTGCTCCCTTGATGTGGTGTATTTCCCCTTCCCCTAGGAGTAGGAGCCCCTTAGAGCCAGACTACTATGAATGTTGCTGCTCTTCTAGGTCTAGCTGCCCAGTGGGGCTACCACACTTCAGGCTGGTACTGGGGAACATCTGTAAGGGGTCCAGTGATGTGATCTGTCCTCAAGGCACCCATCAGTGGGTATCAGTGGCAGCTCTGAAAAGGGTGTCAGGGAAGTGGCACAGTTTGTGAGATTCCTTCACTACAAGTTGCCTTAGTGTGTTGTTAGCTTTCTCAAATGCTAACTGTATTAGTAAGGAACTGGTCATGTGAACAGACTCAGGACCTCCTGGTTAGCCAGGGTGATATAGGCAATGGTGATAACTGAGGTCACACACACATTTTCTCCATCCTCCACACTGTTATTGTGCCTGTAGAGGCTGTAATGGACTGTGGCACTTGGCCTGCAGCCAGGAGGCGGCACTTGCAAAAGAGCACCAGCTGCAATGGTAGCAGAGAGATTTGTGTTTGCCTTATGTTATCCAGAAGATGTACTCTGGTGACTCAGGAAATGGGCAGGGCCACACAGAACTACTCACAAAAGTTTTTGTACTTTGTGTTATACTGCCAGGGTGGTTAGAAGAGCAAGGCCAGGTGGAACCTGGGTCAGGCAAGTCTGTGCTCTGGCCCTTCACATGTTAGCAAAAGCAGTGGCCCCACTGGGGATTGTAGAGCAGTTCTCTGGCTACCAGGGTAATGTTCCAGGGAAAAGCACAGTTGCCTCTGCTGTACAGAAGAATTCACATGGGGAGTGGAGAGTAGCGGGTGGCGGTAGGCTCCACCCAGCTCCCACTCACTGGGCAAGGCCAGTGTCATACTTGCAGCGTTCCACTAGCCCCAGCTAGCTAGGTTCCACATAGTCTGCTCAGAACTCAAAACTGCTCCAGGCCATATTCCTTCCCTGAAGGAAACAGCAACCATGGCTTTTAGGCCATGCCCCTCCTGGTTCACCTGTGAAGCAGGGGCACCCAGCTCCTATGCCTGTGGCTATGGCACACTTCTCACTCACCCCTCAGTTCTGGCCAAGGGGGTTTGTCTCCACTGAAGATTATATCATGAATCTCAGTTGGGAGCTTCTTTCTGCCTGTGACCACCACCTGAGTTAGCTGGTAGATTTATGCAAGGTCTGTGAGGTAGGATCAGGAATGGTTTCCCTTCACCACTGATGGAGACTGGAAATGAATATAAAGCCTGTTCTAATGCCAATTCTTCTCATATACTCCCCACAACTCACTAAATCAGCTCCAGTACTGGGTACAGTTAAGGCCTTCCCTCGTGGCCTGGATTACCTAAAGTTAAGGCCTTCCCCCATGGCCTGAATTGCCATGTTTCCCAGTAGGAGTGTATGTTCCAGAGGTAGTCTATACCCTTTTCACTCTGGGGGACTTACAGTTTTCTACCTGGCTCACAGTGTAGGCTACAGTCCAATACTTCTTTCAAAGGTATGTGGCTTTCAATTTTCTTATTACATTCCTGTGTTTGCTTCTTGGAAGAAAGTTCACATGAGACTCTGTACACACTATTTTGTCTTTCCAAGTGGGAGAGGCATGATAACAATGCCTCCAATCTGGTATCTTGGGGGAAAAAGAATAAACTCCCCTAGCGCTTTGAATATATCATCCTACTCCTTCCTGCTCTACAAGTTTCTAGGGGAAAATCTGCTAATGGTCCTATGGAGGTTACATTGTACACAATGAATCACTTTTCTTTTGCTGCCTTCAGTATTCTTTCACTTTTGACAATTTGATTATATTGTGTCTTGATGTGGATTTCCTTAGGTTTATACTATTTGGGATCTTTTGGGCTTCATTAATCTAGATGACTATTTCCCTCTCCAGATTTAGAAGTTTTCAACCAATCTTCCTTCTTTTTCTTTCTTTCTCCATTCCATTTTCTTTTCTTCTTTCTTTCTTTCTTTCTTTCTTTCTCTTTCTTTCTTTTTTTCTTTCTTTTCTCTTTTTCTTTCTTCCTTCCTTCCTTCCTCCCTCCCTTCCTTCCCTCTTTCCTTCTTTCTTTCTTCTTTCCTCTTGTTATGTTGCCTAGACTGGAGTGAAGTGGGTATTCACAGACATAAACATAGCACATTATAGCCTTCAACTCCTCAGCTCAGACCATTCTCCTGTCTCAGTCTCTTTAGCAGCAGGGACTAGTGGCATCCACTGCCATACCTGGCTCAATCATTATTTCTTTAAACAAGCTTTCTGCCCCTTTCTCACTTCTCCTTCTGGAACATTCATAATTCATATATTAGTTTGCTTGATGGTGTTCCATATGACCTTTGTCTTTCATCACTTTTTTTCATTCTATTTACTTTTGTTCTTGTGACTGGATACTTTTTAAATTTTTAATTTTTTGAGACGGGGTCTTACTCTGTTACCCAGGCTGGAGTAGAGTGGCACAATCTTGACTTGCTGCAGCCTCTGCCTCTTGGGCTCAAGCAATTCTCCCACCTTCTTCCCACCCAGTAGCTGGGCTCACAGGGGCACCACCACGCCTGGCTAATTTTTTGTATTTTTGGTAGAGACAGGTTTCACCCTGTTGTGAAGGCTGATCTCAAACTCCTGAACTGAGGAGATCCGCCTGCCTCGACCTCCCAAAATGCTGGGGTTACAGGTATGAGCCACCATGTCCAGCCTGACTGGATAATTTTAAATGGCATGTATTCAAAAATTACTGGGCTTTTCTTCTGCTTGATCTAGTCTGCCATTGAGTCCCTCTGGTAAAAATTGTCAGTTCAATTATTGTATTCTTTATCTCTAGAATTTCTGTGTGGTTCTTTTTTATGGTTTTTAAGCTGATATTCTCATTTTGTTCATTTTTCATTTTTCTGATTTCATTTAGTTATCTGTATTGTCTTATATAACTCACTGAGTTTCTATGAAATGATTATTTTGAATTGTCAGGCAATTCACAGATCTTTCCTTAAGACCAGTTGATAGTGCTTTTTTTCCCCTTCTTTGTTTGTGTCATAGTTCCCTGACTCATTATATTTCTTGTAGCTTTGTGTTGGTGTCTGTATATTTGAAAAAATAGCCACCTCTCCCATTCATTAGGCCTGGGTTCAACATGGAAAGCCCTTCACCAATCAGCCTAGCTAGAGATTTTGGGAGCCTCTTAATCATTTTCTAGGGATATGTATACTTCGCTTCCCTCCTTTCCTTCTGAGGAAGAAGATTAAGCAGAATTGTGCTAGCTGTGGTGAGCTACCCACCTCTTTTCTTTATTCTTGACTTCCCCTAGGAATTTAAACTATTCTGATTCTCTCAGTGTTCTGAGTGAGGCAGAACAGAAAGAAGTCTCTTGAGCACTGTGCCAGAATGCCAGAAATGATGAACATATGCTTCACTCTCTTCTTTATTCCTGAATGGAGCATCCACAAGCTAAAGCAATTTCTCCCAGTTCAGAGCTGTGCCAACTTGGGGGAGGGGCTGATGCAGGTAAACTAAAATTGTTCTTCCAACTAATTTCAATGTGGCTGATATCAGTATTTTTGCTCATCTGGGGTACTTCTTAACTGGAAGCTGAAATATGTGTAAAGCTATTTTGCTCTGTATATCATTGTTAACTTATCATTGTTAAATATATAATTGTTTCTATAGGGAGATGAGGGCTTAGAACTTCCTGTTCCATCATCTTTTGATATCAAGGAATTATAAATTTTAAAGGTGGTTTTGTTGTATTTTTACTTTTTTGTGTGTTTGGAAATAATATTATTCTACCTCATAAAAGAAAACAAAATCAAATCATAGTGTCAGAAGAGACTCTAGAGATAATCTTAATCCATAACTCCTGAGAAGACCAGAAAAGTCAATGTTATCAGCCAGAAAATGTTGTAAGCCAAAGTGACTCCTATGCCTGCCAAAGGAGACTATATGGGGTTGGTTATGACTGGACAATAACAAGGTAAGTAACTGGGCTTAGGAGTTCTGCTACAGTGCTCTTCTAAGAAGAAACTATATTTTCTTTTTTTAAAATTGTATTGTGGTGACAGGGTCTTGGTATGTTGCTCAGGCTGATCTTGAACTCCTGGCTTCAAACAATCCTCCCACCCCAGTCTTCCAAAACACTGACATTATAGGTATAAGCCACCATACCTGGCCTGAAGCTTTATATTTTCTGCCTATCCAATGTGAACTCAGATTTTAAACCTATGAAGAGAACTCTGAGGGTTTATTCACTTTTATGAAGAGCTTCTTTTTAATTCTTTTGAAGTTTTCAGTTACTCATATTCTTAGAGGAAGGTATGGCTAACAGGAAGTCTTTGGAAAAGAGCTGGGTGAGAATTCTCGAAAGGCTGCAGTCAAGGTATGTGCTCTGGCTTGGGTCTTCTTTTGAGGTTCTCTTTCAAGGTCCTTCTTTTGAGGTTCTCAAGGTTGTTGGCAGATTCATTGTTTCTGAGGTCCTTCTTTTGAGGTTCTCATGGTTGTTGGCAGATTCATTTCTTTCCCAGCTGTAGGACTCCTAACGCCTTGCTTCTTTAAGGTCAGCAGGGGAACATCTCTGATATTGAGTAAGGCCTACATCTTCTTTTAAAGGGCTTATCTGATTAGGTTGGGCCAGCCCAAAATAATCTCCTTTCAATTAACAGAGCTTGATAAACTCAAAGTCATTCTGATTAGGGACTTTATATCTGTAAAATCTCTTCATCTTTGCCAGAAAATGCAACCTAATTGCAGGAGCAATATTATATTAACAGGTCTACTCACACTCAAGAGAAGGAGATAACACAGAGTATGTACACCACAGGGAGGAAATCTTGGGGGCCATTGTAGAATTCTTTCTATGTCACTTACGTCAGCATTTTTGTTGTGCTCTAGAGATTTCAGACTGAAAAGTACTGTTTTCTGTGATTGTAGATACTTGTTACAAATTTGAGACTGAAACATATGCTTTTAAAATTGACAGAACAGAGTATAGCGTAGACAAGACACCAGATAAAATTAAAGTTTATTCTTCCACTGTGGTAAATTAGCATCTCTTCCTTTCAGAAATCACTTACATTGCTTTTTCATATGTTAATCAGACCTCTGTGGAAATGCAAAGTGAGAATTTTAAGTGATCAAAATAAATAGGCCTAACTAGTTCACAGCTCTGAGATGTGACCACACTGCTTATTCATGGAGAGAACAGACCAAGTGGCTTCAACAACAGAAATTTATATTTTCAAGGTTCTGGAGGCTGAAAGTCCAAGATCAAGGTACTAGCAGGTTTAGTTTTTGCTGAAGCCTTGTCTTAGTCAATTTGGGCTGCTATAACAAAATACCCTAGACTGGCTGACTTATAAACAATAGAAACTTATTTCTTACAGTTATGGAAGCTGGTAAGGCTAAGATCAAGGCACTGACAGATTCAATGTCTGGTGAGGAGCCACTTACTGGTGATAGATATCCCTTTCTTGCTTTGTCCTAACATGGCCAGCTCATGCAAAAAGACAAAAGTGCTCTGATGTCACTTCCTTTTAGTATAAAGACAACAGGACTGTAAGATTAGGGTCTAACCATTATAACCTTATTTAAGCTTAATCACCTCCTTAAGGACTCCATCTGCAAATACAGTCACATTGGGGATTAGAGATTAAGATATAAATTTGTTGGGGGACACAACTCAGTTCATAACAATTATCAAAATATCTGTGGACAATGAACAATCTGTGGATTTCCTGCTGATCATGATCCCCAGATAATGTTTAAAAATCACGAATTACCATTCGTAAATATATGCACATATTCCAAAAAAAACTCTCCATCTATTTTCTTTGCTAAAATAATAGAGTATCCAAGGCAACAAAGATACCTGTGCTACCCTGAGCAGTGCAGCAGAACAAACTTTGTCTTTTTTATTCTGACACAATTAATGCAGAGAAGCCAGTTGTATTATTTTTTTCCTAGTAATGAGACCAGAAAATTCCCCCTGGGTCTTCACAATGGGAAAATAACATAGTTACATAGCCAGGTACATGTTTTTCTCTAGTGGCCCTCTCTAAGGGAAAGCACAGAACACAGTGTGTAGACTTCTACACAGAGTTAGGTACTAATGTCAGGATCTATGGTTGAGATTGCTTTTTATAACCCAATATACACTTTGTTTCTCTCTTGTTAGAGCTTCTGTTTTAGAATGGGGTGTCAATGTGCCGTGTTAAGAAACTACATTTTGTATCCTTCCTTGCAGCTATAAATGGTTAATGCAACCTAGATTATTGTCTGCGACCACGAAAAGGCTCTTACAAAGGGGGCAGAGAGCTAGCACATACCCTTCTCAGCCCTTACCTCCTCAACCTTCCTCTTGTTTCCTGCTTGGAGTACGGATTTGATATGTGCAAATATAGCAGCCATCTTGGATGACTAGAACTTCAGAAACTATCTTGGACGAGGGCTAACTTCAAAAATGGAAGCCAAATATAAACAAAGATGGACCTAAAACATAGATGAAGCCGAGGTCCATAATGATGCTTCATAAAGTTTCCATACCAACCCTAGACGGTTGAACTCTTTCATGTGAGGAAGAAATAAATACATGTCTATCTTACTTAAAATAGTATTTCTGCTCTCTATTATTAGCTGTAAAAAAGTTTCTCAACTGATACAAACTGAAGACTAAATATCTCAAAATATGAAAATTACCTTAGAAAGTCAATTAGATCTGCCATAAAATCCCCCATAAACTACAGTAAAGCAGGGAGGCATAAATCATGAATGGGTTATGGGCAAAGGCATTTAAGCCTTTAATTCTTGGGCCAGTCAAGAAAATAGACCAATTAGGCTATCTACTTGCACTGTTTTAAGTTAGCATTTGCCTTTCAGAAATTGTCTATATTGCTTTCAGAGACTGTAACTCAGAAATTCAAAATCACATGTATTATGAAAAATCTTGTGAAGCACCACACGTACATGTGTGTATGTTTCTCTATGACTTCTAATTACAATATTTTTTCATGGCTGTTGAACAAGTCATCAGCACATTCTGACTACCAGAGCAGTGTAGTCCATTCACAATTATTAGAAACTCCTTAAAAGCATGTATACCTTCTCCCATTGGTTTTTGATTAAGCTAAACTTGGTTATACCATAACTGTTCTTTAAGCAGAATTGTGGGAAAAAGTATACATTTGATTTATATTGCTTTTTGTTTTATATTTCTCATTTTTCTTTCTCTTGCATTGGATTTAACTCCACTGTATGTACAAAACTGAGGAAAGTCCCTTGTGGCCACGTGGTTTCATCAAGTGGGTAACTGGAGGTCTGAGAAGATTCTAGAATTTAGATTTTTCTAAGGAATGTTACCACGTTGCTAAGCTATGTAACATATCTTAACCAGGGAGCCACATAGGCTCCTTGGAGTAAGAGTGTGAGAAACTGGAAGAAGACAGTTGTATGCTTTTGGAAGCATTTGAGATTGGGCTGTCTCTACCAATTAAAAACTTCTAGCTTAAGTGCAGAGATTTAAGGAAATCAACAAAAATTCAGCCTAGACATATTATGAGGCTGGGAGGTTATCAACAGACTTGAGTTCCTGTCAGCAAGATCACCTGCTTTTAATACTGTCCTCAGGTATAATTTTAAATTTATCTTAGAATAATGTTCTAACATTTTAGATGTGAGTTAGTTAATAGTCCTCAAATTCATTCTTTTTTCAAGATTATGTAAAACCCAAATAAATCTGTTTTAAGAAAATGAAATATGCAAAGTCTGTAGACTAAAGACATTTATTCTGTGGAAAACATCTAGTTCTATTTAACAAGTATTTATTGAGCATTTACTATGTGGCTGACCATATTCTAGGTTTTGGGAATGCAAAGATAAAAAACTGAGCTAGATCATTGCCTACTTGATTATCACATCCTTTTGAGAGGAGCAGAAAATAAAGAAATGTAAAATAAATAATATCAGGGAGTGATACACACTACAAAGATAGCTTAAGGAGGGAAAGGGCTAGAGACCAATAAAGGCTGGGATGATGGTGGGAGCTACTTTTGAGAGGGAGTTAGAAAGGCTTTTGGAGAAAGTGTCCTTTAGACAGAGAAATAAGTGAGGGAGAAAGCCATCAGTATTAATATTTGGCTTTCATTTTTGAAGTTATCTCTTGTCCAAGAGGGTTTCTAAAGTCTCAGTTATCCAAGACCTAAGGGGTGTAAATTCCAGGATAAAGGGGATCTGCAAATGCAGATTTGGTATTCATCACCTAAATAATGGTCTTTATATCCCTATGAATTCATAAGAACTTTCAGCTATTTATTAATCAGATACAATATTCTTTCTGCGTCAGTATACATTTTATACATGTGCTATTTTGGAGTAAGAATATTAATATTTAATATAGATTTACATGGCATGTTCTAAGTAACAATGGTCAGAGTTAGAAATAGGTGGATTAATAATGCTTTTAAAACCACCTATTTTGAAGATTTTGTGTTATTTAGTCTGAATAAAATTTAATAATTTACTAATATATAGGTAGATTCAAAAGGCTATAGGAAAGGAAATACTGCTTCCAGAAGTATTTACACAATTCTGTGAAAGGTAAATACTAACTTTAATTAAATTTTCCTACAGACTTACCTCTACAGAGTTTTCTTTTCCTTTTCTGAATTAGCATCACAATTAAAATAGAAGTATAAATGGAACTCAGCTACCTTCATTCAGGAAATCTCTTGGGTTCATCTTTAAGTCATGAAGCCTCAGCCTAGGTTTTACAACACATAGGTAGTGAGATGAGACTCAAGATATTTACTAACAATAGCTAAAATACTCAGGTTTGCAGATTATTTACTTTTAAAAAGCAATTTAGTACCAAGAAGGGTGAATTACCTGGCATTTATTTGCAATGCCATGTGCTTACATGATTGGAGTTAGAACCCATAATGTAGCTCTTCTGAGCAATAGTCACTAACACACCATAGTTGAATCAGCAGTGTGTAGTACATTGCTTCCCCACAATTTTGAAATGCGTTAAAAAAAATCTAAACGTGAAGAAAATGTGTCTTCCACACAAACATCATCTATCATGTGTATTATGGTGGGGAAAATGGGCTGAGAACCAACATTCTACATCACATAGCAATTACCTATTAGGTTAAAATACTGGAAACAAGTGTGTAGTTTATATTGATTTTTCATTTGTGCATGTGTATGTGTTTTGTACACAAATCCCATCCATGAAGATATCTCCCAAAGGCCCTATTTCCTAATACTGTCACATTGGTGATTAGGTTTCAAAATATGAATTTGGTGTTGGGGGGACACAATCATTTATATCATAGTCAACACAATGTATATTTTGAATTTTGGAGAATTTTTAGTGATATATGTGGATACAATATTTATATATTATCTTTACTCCTTAAGCATTATTCTTGAACAATAAAAAGTCGTAACATCAGATTAAACTTCTTGTAAGCCAAGAGTAAGTACTATAGCATCTTCTTAACTTAAGGTATAAAAACAAGATGAATTTCAGACTTCCAGGAGGCACTGCTATTTTAATAAGAGGAAGAAAATAATTATCTGCATTGTTTTCTTGTTGACCTTTTGTACCAAAATTTAAAGTGTATCACTACCTTTTAAGCTAATCTAAGAGAATTGATGTGGGACAGACACACATAGTAGAATAACTGAATAGTATCAGCTGACATTTAAGTCAATTTCATCAGGTTATAGATGAACAGACTGAAATCTAGGCAATAAAGCGATTAATCTGTGGTCACTTTGCTAGTTAGTGACAAATCTGGGACCATAAATCCTATTTTTGAAATTCTGGTTTAATGTCTTTTTCACTCTCCAAATTGCTTGCTGTACACCTTTCCACCTCAATACAAATAAAAAGCAAATTTACTGGCTTAATTGTACAAAAGGTCCCACACTGAAAGAATGATCAAGTCTAAAGTGTAATTTAAACAAAGAGGTTAGAACTAGCTCCTCAACAGTGATATTCATAAAGAACAATATAAAAATACACTTTATTGGTAGATAGATATTTCTGAATTTAATGTCTACATTTATTTTATCCAACCTAGGATAATTTTATTATTTATATATATCAAACTGAATTTCCTGAAAACCAGATGTTCTGTGGCAACAAGCCTGGGAATTTATACATCATGCCCTCTAAGTATATAGCACGAAACACTTAAACATAGATTGCTTTGGTTTAAAAAGATAGTCAGTGATCTAAAAATATCCATCTCAACAAAATCCTGAGATCAATTTCTAGAATATGAACATTTTTTTGACACTGCAAATTATTCTAACCAAAAAAATCTCTGCTATGGTTATAAATAAAATGTGTATTTCCTAATTCTGGCATGGTGAATAAGATTTCCATTTAAGATAGAAAAAATACAACAGGCACTAGAAAATCATCCTTCCTGGATTTCAAAAGTAGTATACTATCTACTTTTATAGTAGTATACTAGATAGTAGTATACTATCCAAGCTTACTTAAAGTAATGTACTTTCTTTAAGTAAGCCATTATTTAAAGTTTAAATAATGGCTTTTTATGTTCTTAACCCAGAAATATTCTTTTCTACATGGTTGTGAATTCACTAAAATACATAACATTGTCTTTAATCTCCGAGGTCTAAAATGTCTTAAATCTCCGAGGTCTAAAATCTCCTAGGTGTCTAAAAATGTTTGCTGAAGGACCAATAACTGTTACTGAGTATTGCAAACAACAATATGGCAAAGGTTCTCTGGTTTATCATCTCTACATATATCACTCTTTTGGATGTTTTTCCTCCTTCAGGTTTTACCATTCTCTCAGAAGATGATACACATTTATGATGCTGGGTTTTATAAGTGCAATATGAAAGGTCTTAACTTAAAATTAATTCAATGTAAAGTGTATTTGTGAGTATTGCATTTAAAAGTCATCATTTAAGTTTACTATATCAAAATTGATAGTCATGTAATACATTTTTGTGTTGGTAAGTCAACAAAGTGAGCTCAAATGAAAGTAAAAACAGAATATACTTTATACTTTTTACATATGTGATATAAATATTTCAAAATCAAACACTTTGGTTTTCCCATAGGAAAATTTTTTATGATCCATCCATGCTTGTACTTTTCAATGTTTATGAAAATTTGTTCTGAAAGCAAAATAGACTCACATTGCTGTAACCTGAGAAACAATTTAGTTCAAACAAAGGAGATGGAAAAATATTTGATGTGTAAGAAAGTGACAAGAAACTCTTGTCAGAATGTTTGTCATTTTGTGATTTCAGGGTCTGAGCACATCTGGAAGTGAGGTCAATCAATTTAGACTCCAAAAACTTTTGTGGCAACAGTGGAGAGGGGAAAATAAACACTCCATGAACATGAACCTCAACCCCTCGACATCTGCTCTTCGGATTGAGGGCAAAGGCAGCCATATTACGGCTAGAAATGTAAGCTGCTTTCTAGTCAGGCACACCCCTCATCCCAGAAGAGTCTGTCACATCAAAGGTAAGGTGGCTTAAGGTCCTAGTATGTAGATGTAGAATGTACTATTCTCTACACTTGGGCCATTTGATAATTCTGGTGGGTAAACACAAGGCTGCTAGTCAAAATATTTAACTACTGGCAAGGTATGGTCATTGACTATTGGGACTAGGTGCCAGCACTGGAGTGAGAGTCAAGGCCTGCAGTCCCTCTCTTTGCCAGACAGTAACCCTTAAATCACTTGATTGTTAGGATAGGTGGCTGGAGAGAGGCCAAGGTGGCAAGGGAAATAGGGACCACTCAGAGCTCAGGGCAGCCTTGACCAATTGATATAAAAATATTTCAGTATTTTAACAATGCACACATCCATGTTAGCATCTACATGCTAAATATCATCCCTAAGGAAGCATATGTTTTACTCCTGCCTCCTTCCCTTATGTCTTGTCTTTTCTCCCTCCCTCCTTGCCTCCTGCCCTCATTCTCTCCCTCCATCTCTTTCTTTTTCCTTCCTCTCTCCTTTCCTACCTTTTACTTTAACTTTATATGATAGGATTACTCAAAATTACACATTAATAACTGTATTTTCCTTTTGAGGGAGGCAGTTCAATTGAGCTTGGATTGAAGAATTTTAAAATTATACAGTTTTTAAACACATCTTGTATTCTGAGATGTTTTGAGAGGTACAAAGAGAAAAGGGTTCTGATGTTTTGAGAGGTACAATTCTCAAGGTTATGAAATGTATGTAAAACAAGCAGAACTGTTTTGACTTCACAAGGTGAACCAGTCAATTCACTTAGGATGGTGTGACTGTGTGATACCCCCCACATACAAAGTAGCATATCAACATTGGTTACTGGTTGTAATTTAAATAGATCCTCACACCCATCCCTGAGTTTCTTATCCCCAAGAGAAATGCTGCCATAGTGAGCCCCAGCAGATGAAAATGTGTCATATTCCTTAGGTGACAGAAAAAGTGATATTAAAAACCAATGTTATTTGGCTTAGGCAAATAATTCATGACTAAGACCACAAAAGCAAATGCGACCAAAACAAAAATAAATAAATGGGACCTAATTAAACTAAAAAGCTTCTGCACAGCAAAAGAAATTATCAGCAGAGTAAACTGACAACCCACAGAGTGGGAGAAAATATTTTCAAACTATGCATTCAACAAAGTACTAATATCTAGAATCTACAAGGAACTCAAACAAATCAGCAAGAAAAAAAACAAAACAAATATTCCCATCAAAAAGTGGGCAAATAACATGAATACCAAATTCTCCAAAGAAGATATACAAACAGCCAACAAACATGAAAAAATGCTCAACATCACTAATTATCAAGGAAATACAAATTAAAACCACAATGAGATATCACCTTACTCCTGTAAGTATAGCCAGATATAGGTGAAGGGGAGGAAGGCAGCAAATCACACTGCCATGTGTGTACCTATGCAACAATCTTACATGTTCTTCACATGTACCCAAAAACCTAAAATGCAATAAAAAAAAAGTCAAAAAACAAAAGATGTTGGCATAGTTGTGGTGAAAGGGGAACACTTTTACACTTATGGTAGAAATGTAAGTTAGTATATAATCACTAAAGGTACCTGCCCAGCAGCTCTGAATTAACAACGGAGCTCACAGCTCAGCATTTGAGCTCCTATAAAGAAGAGACCATCTCCTCAAGCAGCTCCCTGACCCCTGTATATCCAAAGAGCCACCTCATAAAGGAGAGATCAGACTGACACTTGGCGGGTATCCTTCTGGGACAAAGATAGCAGAAGAAGAAAACTGGTAACAACCCTTACTGTTCTACAGCTGCTGCAGGTGATCCCCAGGCAAGCAGGGCCTGGAGTGGACCTCAGCAGACCTACAGCAGAGGTGCCAGGCTGTTAGAAGGAAAACTAAGAAACAGAAATAACCTCATCATCAACAAACAGAACATCCACTCAGAGACCCAATCTGAAAGCCAGCAACTACAAAGACGACAGGTGGATAAATCCATAAAGATGGGAAGAAACCAGCGCAAAAAGGATGAAAACACCCGAACCAGAACACCTCTCCTCCTATAAGGGATCACAACTCCTCACTAGCAAGGGAACAAGGTTGGAGGGAGAACGAGTGTGATGAAATGACAGAATCAGACTTCAGAAGGTGGGTAGTAAGCAACTTATGTGAATTAAAAGAACATGTTCTAACCCAATGCAAAGAAACTAAGAACCTTGAAAAAAGATTTGACAAAATGCTAACGAGAATGGACAAAATAGAAAGGAATATAAGTGAATTGATGGAGCTGAAAAACACAACACGAGAACTTCGCGAAGCATGCACAAGTATCAACAGCCAAATTGACCATGCAGAAGAAAGGATATCAGAGGTCGAAGATCAACTCAATGAAATAAAACGGGAAGGCAAGAATAGAGAAAAAAGGGTAAAAAGGAATGAACAAAGTCTCCAAGAAATGTGGGACTATGTGAAAAGACCTAATCTACGTTTGATAGGTGTAACTGAAAGTGACGAAGAAAATGAATCCAAGCTAGAAAATACTCTTCAGGATATTATCCAGGAAAACTTCCCCAACCTAGCAAGGCAGGCAAATATTCAAGTCCAGGAAATACAGAGAATACCACAAAGATATTCCTCAAGAAGAGCAACCCCAACGCACATAATCATCAGATTCACCAGGGTTGAAATGAAGGAGAAAATACTAAGGGCAGCCAGAGAGAAAGGTCGGATTACCCACAAATGGAAGTCCATCAGACTCACAGCAGATCTCTCAGCAGAAGCCCTACAAGCCAGAAGAGAGTGGGGACCAATATTCAACAACCTTAAAGAAAAGAACTTTCAACCCAGAATCTCCTATCGAGCCAAACTAAGCTTCATAAGTGAAGGAAAAATAAAATCCTTTGTGAACATGCAAGTACTCAGAGATTTTGTCACCACCAGGCCAGCTTTACAAGAGCTCCTGAAAGAGGCTCTATGCATATAAAGGAACAACCAGTACCAGACACTCCAAAAACATGCCAAATGGTAAAGAGAATCAACACAATGAAGAATCTGCATCAACTAATGGGCAAAACAGCCAGCTAGCACCAAAATGGCAGTATCAAATTCACTCATAACAATATTAACCCTAAATGTAAATGGACTAAATGCCCCAATCAAAAGACACAGACTGGCAAATTGGATAAGAAGACAAAACCCATCGGTGTGCTGTATCCAGGAAACCCATCTCACATGCAAGGATACACAAAGGCTCAAAATAAAGGGATGGAGGAAGATTTACCAAGCAAATGGAGAGCAAAAAAAAAGCAGGAGTTGCAATTCTCATCTCTGATAAAATAGACCTTAAAGCAACAAAGATCAAAAGAGACAAAGAAGGACATTACATAATGGTAAAAGGATCAATGCAACAAGAACAACTAACGATCCTAAATATATACGCACCTAATACAGGAGCATCCAGATACATAAGGCAAGTTCTTAATTACTTACAAAGAGACTTAGACTCCCACACAATTATAGTGGGAGACTTTAACACCCCATTGTCAATATTAGACAGATCAACCAGACAGAAAATTAACAAGGATATCCGGGACTTGAACTCAGACCTGGACCAAGCAAACCTAATAGACATTTACAGAACTCTCCACTCCAAATCCACAGAATATACATTCTTCTCAGCACCACATCACACCTACTCTAAAGTTGACCACAAAATTGGGAGTAAATCACTCCTCAGCAAATGCAAAAGGACGGAAATCATAACAAACAAGTCTCTCAGACCACAGTGCAATCAAGTTAGAACTCAGAATTCAAAAACTAACCCACAACCGCACAGCTTCATGGAAACTGAACAACTTGCTCTTGAATGTTGACTGGATAAACAATGAAATGAAGACAGAAATAAAGATGTTCTTCGAAACCAACGAGAATGAAGACACAACATACCAGAATCTCTGGGACACATTTAAAGCAGTCTCTAGAGGAAAATATATAGCAATAAGTGCCCACATGAGAAGCAAGGAGAGATCAAAAATTGACAACCTATCGTCAAAACTGAAAGAGCTAGAGGAGCAAGATCAAAAAACCTCAAAGTCTAGCAGAAGACAAGAAATAGCTAAGATCAGAGCAGAACTGAAGGAGATAGAGACACAAAAAACCCTTCAAAAAATCAATAAATCCAGGAGCTGGTTTTTTGAAAAGATCAACAAAATAGACAGACCACTAGCCAGATTAATAAAAAAGAAAAGGGAGAATAACCAAATTGATGCAATAAAAAACGATAAAGGGAATATCACCACAGATTCCACAGAAATTCAAACCATCATCAGAGATGATTACAAACAACTCTATGCACATAAACTAGTAAACCTGGAAGAAATGGATAAATTCCTGGACACTTGCATCCTCCCAAGCCTAAACGAGGAAGAAGCCGAAACCCTGAACAGACCCATAACAAGGTCTGAAGTTTAGGTGGCAATTAAGAGCTTACCACCCAAAAAAAGCCCAGGTCCAGATGGGTTCACAGCCGAATTCTACCAGACATACAAAGAGGAGCTGGAACCATTCCTTCTGAAACTATTCCAAACAATACAAAAAGAGGGAATTCTTCCCAAATCACTTTATGAGACCAATGTCATGCTGATTCCAAAACCCGGCAGAGACTCAACAAGAAAAGAAAACTTCAGGCCAATATCCATCATGAACATAGATGCAAAAATCTTCAATAAAATACTGGCAAGCCGATTGCAACAGCACATCAAAAAGCTTATCCACCATGATCAAGTAGGCTTCATCCTGGGTATGCAAGCCTGGTTCAACATATGCAAGTCTATAAACGTAATTCACCACATAAACAGAACCAAAGACAAAACCCACATGATTATCTCAATTGATGCAGAGAAGGCCTTTGACAAAATTCCACAGCCCTTTATGCTAAAAACCCTCATAAGCTAGGTATTGACAGAACGTACCTCAAAATAATAAAAGCTATTTACAACAAACCAACAGCCAATATCA